TGTGAAACACATGAGTTCCCTATTAAAATGTTGTTTTATCACCTGAGCATGAACAGTTAGTAGTAATTTTTAGTGCAATTATAGTATTTCGAAATGGGTTTTCTAATAAACTGCATAGTAAACTTATTCTGAACTCTGTTCATATTTGAAATCCAAAATTAAACCTCCAGAAAATAGAGGTCAGAAAAGAAATAATGCTGAAGAATGGGACAATATTTCCAATGTTATTAAGGATGTCAATATCATTCCAAACCAGGTAGATTATCATGGAAACTTTAATGCAGAAATATTTGAGAATCTTTTTACAACTCTGTGTAAAAATCTTCATGAAAAATATGGGTAAGTAATCATCTATATAGATGGAGTTAGTTATCATAAACGGCGAGTAAAAAATATTCTGACTTCAAAGTACAAAAAAAACAAGAAATAGTTGACTGGTTAAATGCATATGATATTTCTTTTTCTGGTGAATTAAGAAAGCCAGAACTTTTGAAACTAGTGCAAATGAATAAGGAAAAGGTTCCTTTTTCTTGTGTTAAAATAGCAGAATAGTACAAACATGAAATTAATTTTACCCTTCTATATCATTGTGAACTTCAACCTATCGAAGGTATTTAGTCAATAATAAAGGATGAAGTTGCACGTTCAGGTTCACATCCAAACTTTTTATCTATTCAAAACAAACTATTGGATGCATTTAAATACAAAATTACCTCAAAAGTATTATCGGGCTTTAGAGAAGAGCATTAAATAACACTAAGAAATATTTTGTATCTGACGAAAATGTACAATTAATTGATAATGAATTTGATGATTATAGTAGTTTTGATGATGATCACGTGATTTGATTCAATTTCCATATTTTTATACTTTCCAATACATATTAATATTATTTAAATAACAAAGAAAAAGTTTATTTAATAAAATTTTTTTTATTGGTGGTTTTTTTCAGTGTTAATATAAATATTAATAATTAAATATATTAATTTAATTTATTAATAAATATTTACCTGTAATTTTTGATATACATTATCTTTTATTTGTATAAATTTGCATTTAAATCATATTATAAAGTATTTGTAATGGTAAATTTAAATTAAACTTAAGATATGTTAATATATCTATAAATTTATTCCTTCAATAACTGTAAATGGTTGATCATTAATTACTATCCAATTAATTAATTTTTTTCTAAATTCTTGTGATGTAAACTTTTCTTTTATTATAATGGTTTATTACTTTAAAAAATATTTGAATGATGCTTTTTTTACATGTTGAAGTAGAATTATTATTATAGTTTTTGCTATTTTAAAGTAAACATTAATTAAAATTATATTGTAGTATTTCAGTATAATTAGATAAAAATACTAATAGTACTTTATTATAATTTTTTCTTCTTCAGTACAATGCAAATGTTCAGAGGTGAAAAATTGTTTCAATATATTCATCAAATGATCTAGAGTGAAATAACAAAGCAAAATATTAAGTGTTGCAAAGTTAATATTATCCAATAAGTCTATTAATGTTCTATATTCTAAATCTAATGTAAAATATAAATATATTTCTAAGTTCTTTTTTTTTATCAATTAAAGATGATTCTTGTTCATTATCAGAAGATAAATTTATTTGATTATTTTGTGACATGATTTATATTATAAAATATTTTTTTTTTAAAAAAAATATCTTAATAATATTAATTTAATATTTCAATTAAAAACCTTTTTATTTTCTAAAAAAAATAAAATCTAAAAAAAAATGTTAATAAGGCTTGTATAATAATCTCATAAATCTTAATATTTTAAATTCACTTAAAAAGATTAAGATTTCCTTAAAGAGAAAGCTAAAAGGACCTTTTCTCTCTTTAAAGAAGAAGCTACAGAGGCTTTTTCCTTTCTAAGAAAAGACACAGAAGTGATTCCATTTAAGAAAAAGTTACAGACATGATTCCTTCAATAGAATCGTCTTTGGAAATGATTCTCATCAAAGGAAAAGTCACAGAAGCGATTTTTTTCAATAAAAAAGACACAGAAGTGATTTCTTCAATAGAAATGCCTCCAAAAATAATTCCTTTTAAAAAATGCCTCTGAAAATGATTTTTTTCAAGAACACAACTTTGGAAATAATTTCCTTAAATGAAAAAGCCACAGAAGCTATTCCTTCAAAAAACGCTTCTGAAGCATTAATTTTAAAAAAATATATTTCAGAAGTGTTACTTTTAAAAAAATGCTTTGGGATTATTACTTTTAAATAATATTGTTTCCTGAATATTAATTTTAAAAGAAACGCTTTCAGAATATTTAATTTAAAAGAAACATTTTCAGAACATTTATTTTAAAAAAATGTTTATTTTAAAAAATATTTTCAGAATGTTTTATTTAAAAATGCTTCTGGAACATTAATTTTAAATAATAACACTTCCAGAATATTAATTTTAAATAATAATATTTTTAGAGTGTTAATTTTAAATAATAATACTTTCAGAAACATAATTTTTTAAAATAAACATTTTGGAAATATTTCTTTTAAAAAAAGGTTTCAAAACATTTTATTTAAAATTAATGCTCTAGAAGCATTATTATTTAAAATTAACTCTTCAGAAGCATTTCTTTTAAATAAAACATTCTAGAAACATTTTTTTAAAATAAATGTTCTAGAAACGTTTCTTTTAAATAAATATTCTGAAAATGTGTTTTTTTAAAATAAATATTCTGAAAATGTGTTTTTTTTAAAATAAACATTCTGAAAATGTTTCTTTTAAATAAAATATTTCAGAAATATATTTTTTAAAAATAAACATTATGAAAGTGTTTCTTTTAAAATTAATGTTCTGAAAGCGTTATTATTTAAAAGTAATGTTCCTGAAGCATTTTTTTAAAAATTAATGCTTCAGAAGCATTTATTTCAAAGAACACTTCAAAAGTATTATTCTTTAAAGAAACACTATCAGAATTATTTTACTTCAAAATAAACTTTGCCAGAATTGTTTTCTTCAAAGAAAACGTTGCTAGAACTATTTAATTTCAAAGAAATTATTGCCTAAAATATTATTCTTCAAAGTTAATCTGTTAGATTTGATATTTTCAAAAATAAAAAATCTAAGCTGACGAACTAAGCTATATCACAAGTTAAGCTATGATATGAGTCAACTTAATTAGCTTGCAAGCTATTTTATAGTAGTTTAAGCTGAACTTTAGCAATTTGACTGACTGACTTATGAGGAGCTTTAGTTACTATAATTCTTATTTACAAATATATGCTATTTTTAAGTTTGTAAGCTTCAATATAGTTTATACATTCTTGACTATTTCTACTACTTGTCATCAAAAGAATTTGTTTTACAAATTAATATTTAATTGCTAAGAATTCATTTCTTATACTTTGAGTGTTAATTTCTTCTTATAATTTCTTTACAATATTATTGTTATCCAAATATTCTTTAGTTATTCTCTTATATTATTTTTTTTCTAGCTTGTGATTATTTATAATACTTATTCTAATATGAAATATTAACCTTTTATATGATAAGTATATCTTAAATTATTATTTTTTCTTTATTTTTTCTGATATTACTTTTGATTATTACTTCCAAATATTACTTCTATATATTACTTTTGAATATTTCTTTTAATTATTACTTCTGAATACTACTTTTATATATTACTTTCTGCTGATAAATATCTCTTAAATAATTATCATATTTCTCATAATTTCATTCTGATAATTTTTGGTTTTATTTTATTATTAATTTATTAATATTTTTCTAATTTATAGTGTAAAATAATTTTATTTATTTATATAACTTAATCATTCAACAACTAATTATTTCAAATAAAAGTATTCATTTTATTTATATTTGAAAATTTATTTATTAAAAATAATTATTTTTTTTATTTTTAGAAAAATTAAATTTGGTTTCTTGATCATATTCAAAGGTTTATATAATAAATTTACATAGTAAAAGTGAATAATAACTACTTGTAATAAATAATCTAATTATTTACTATGTAATACTTAATACTTGTTTTTCTACTAAACATAATTTACTACTACCTATATTTTATTGTCAAACTTCCTTCTATTTTTATAATATTATGTGTTACTTTTATATTGCATAAGTTTTTATGTTTTTATGTGATCAATTTTATTATTTCTAACTATTATACTTTTTTGTATAACTTTTTTATATGTTTGTATTACTTCTTCAATTATTATTTCTTTATCTTTCTATAAGACCCTCCTCCATTCAGTTCATTAATTATCTTACTTCTTGACTCTCAATTCAGTTCTTTTAATTATCCTTTCTTTTTTAATATCTAATTTATCTGAATTATTTCCTTTTGAATTTCATCTATCTTATATAATCTTTCTTTTCATCCTGTAATTTATTTAAGTATTCTTCTTTTTTTAAAAAAAATAAATATTCTTTTTTTTATCACATAATTTTTCTTATGACTTTTGTTATATATTTGTTGAACCTTATCATATATATTGTTACGTCATAAATTATAAAATTGTTGATTCTACAATGTAACAATTAAAATAAATAAATTTATTAAGTTATATTACTTTATTTTAATTTTTATAAAATAAATATATATATAACTAATAAGATTTTTTGATAAATAAATCAATAATTAACTTTTTATTTGGTTATTTGTTAAATATTCAATAGAAATCAGAATAATATTGATTAATTGATAAATTCAAATATATAATTATAAATAATAAACTTAAATATATAAATTTATATAAGAAAATTATTAATTTACTAATAAAAACATTATGTTTTTATAATCCAAACGTGTATAATCAATTTGAAATTTCAAATATTATATTTTAAAATACTTTATCCAATAATATTCATTTATTCACACGTAAAATTATGATGAAAACTGTATTACCCAAAATGCATACATTGTGTAACCTAATATACATATTTGATTATAACTTGGGAAATACCATCAATTATTATCTCTAAAAGCAAATATATCATTTGATTAATGGATCCAAGTTTGTATCAACAACAGCGTCAACAACAACAGAACCGTGTTCCTTATGGGAATCCTCAAGGATCAGCAACGGTAATGAGTGCTGCTGGTGCGTATCCTCAACCGTATATGACAGCTAACACGGCATATTTACAACAAGGTACTGGCCTCAATCCAATGATGTCAATCCCTAGTCGTCCTGTATACCAAGTACCTGTCGCCTCAGTGGCATCTATGACAGCAAATGGTAGATCAGCAGCAAAAAGAGTTGCAATAGGCTCAGGACCTCCTATACCAACTCTTTTTTCAAATATGGGACAGACTCCTGGTCAGAATCAACTTTATACGGGTTTTCCTAGTCAACAAATAATAAATGCAGGAAGGTCGACAGTTCCTACGCAATCCTTTGTAAATACTGATAATCAAAACATGGATAGTAAATCAGCTTATCAAATAAATAAATATCTTCAATTGCAAGCAAAGTCAAATTCTATGGGAAATAATTTTAATAGTCTGTTAAATCAAAATCAATCCCCACATCCACAACAATCAAATCAAGCGATACATAATTCTATTCAACAGGAAGAAAATCAGGTAGATTGGTTAGATTTGGGAGATGAAGATGATATTGTATATGATTTTAATTGTTCACCAGATTTCACAAGTGGAATTGGTGGCAATATGCAAGCTTGGAATTCCAGTTCTATAAGCAATTTGAATTATGCGACTCAAAACATAAAATATAATTCAATTAACCAAAGTAGTCTTCAACAATCGCCACAACAGCAGCACGACGATCAACAATTACAACTGCAAACAATATCAGAGCAGCAACAAGAACGACAATCAACACCACAACAACCACCACCATCACAACAACAGCATCATTCGCAGCCGATACAAATTACACAAACTTCGCATCAACGAGAAGATACGGGATATAATTATTCTTCTATTTCTTCTCTTCCTTTGCCAACAAATAGCATTTCTAGTATTTCACAAAATTTGTCTCCAAAAAATATTCAAAATAGTTCTTTAGGAATGTTACCCCGTTCGCCTATTCCGTCATCTGATTCTAGTAGTCAGCCATTGATTTATGGTAATCAAAAACAGAGTCAAACTGGGTCACAAATTGGACAATTTACTAAAATGGTTTCGAAAGATCATTTGTCAACATCGAATTCAATGATATCAAATTATTCTCAATCATCGACACGGTCTTCGATATCACCAGAAATAACATCTAATTCTGGTATTCAGAGTGCAGTCATTGATCAATATAACCAGTCGCCACGATCGACATTAGAATCTACGACACTTACTCCATTGAAATCTAATCCATTTATGAGTCATATAGAACCTATGCAACGTATAGCATCACAAGAACATCAAAGTGAATCGTCGTCGATTATGCCTTCAAATGATAATCAGAATTCATTTAATGCGAATGTTCAAGCGACTTCTATGCCGACAATAATGACCTCTTCTTCAGATAACCCTAAAGATATTAATAATCTTCCAGCTATAACAAATTTCTCCCAACATCAGCAAACTTCACAACCATTTAACGCAGAGATACCTACTAATGTGCTTAATAGTAATAATAATAATAGTAATAATAATAATAATAACAATAATAATAATAACAATAATAATAAACAGCAACAGCGGCAACCTTCTAATCAGATTGGAAATATTGCTCAAAGCAGTATTGCTGAAAACGCTACACCTAATCTTCGTTTACCCGTTAGTAGCGGTATAGCTGGACGTAGGAACATTAATTCTCGTCAAGTGTCTCGACAACCCGAGAAAACTACTTCTGTATCAGATAATTTACCTTCAACATCATCATCAGTTCCTGACCAAACAACTTCAACACCATCTAAACCTCAAAAGGTAAATTATGCTCCAAAAACAAGAAAGGTGGACAGTTACGGTGGTCTTGATCTGAGAGTTTTTGAAAAGTTTTCTTTACCATTGACTATTCCTGGAATTCAAGAATTAGGTAATTTTAAGTTATTTTTTAATTACAAATTATTTGTGTCTTACCTACTTTAATTGTTTTATTTAAAAGGTGCTGTAGACGTACATGCTCTTACAATGTCATTAAAATGTGGTATGAAACTGGAAGTTACAAACGCTCTTAATACATTAACCACTTTATCATATAGAAATTGCTTAGAATTAAAGCAATGTGGAGATTTAATTGATGTATTATTTGATATGGTGTTGGAATACGTTGATTATGTATCTCTTAATGAGGAAATAGTAGAAGAAAGCATTATATCACAACGGAAATTCAAATCATATCGAGAATTATATCAATTATCTAAACAAGAGTGTGAAGAATTTGCATTAAGAGATTCCATTTCGGAAGAATGGTTGCCACTACATGAACAATGTTGGTGTGTAACAAATATGATAAGGAATTTTTCGTTCAATTTTGAGAATCAGGAGCATCTTGCTTCCCATCCACGATTCTTGGCAGTTCTCATGCGGATTTTATATATTGGATGTGACGATAATTATATGCAAAATACTTATAATAGTGAAAATGATTTTGGATCTGATCTCAAAGCTAAACGTATAAAAGTTATTCGAAAAAGAGCGTATTATATTTTGGAATTACGCAAGAGTGTTTTAATTATTTTATCAAACATTGCTGCATATATACCTTTACCATCTATTTATGTCGCAAGAGATTTATTAACTTTAATTGGTGACTTTATGGATAGCATGGATGATTATTATTCTCAAATTGCATTAGAAGTATTTTCTAAATTGTCTGTTTCGTACGATAATAGACAACGGATTGGTGGATGCGATGAATCTACATTAACATCATTTTTTCACTGTTTAATACAAATGCTTCCAAAGATAGAAAATGTCATTCATGGTGGAGCAGGACGCCTAGTGGCTCAAGATTTACCTTATTTAGCAACTTTAGTTATGGCAATTTATAATTTTGTGTGCCTGAGTGGGGAAGGGATGAGAAAGAAAATAATCTCTACACCTGGGTTTATAAGTAGGATGCTTAGAATGGCAATATCGTTAGCAGGTATCCGTGATAATCGTGATGAGGATTGTATTATGTTAGCTAGAAGAGCTATGGAGATGTTAAAGGTCTTAGCCAAAGGAAATGAGGAATGTTTTCTTGTATATAATGAACAATTATTACTTGCGTTATTCACTCCATATATAGATCATGTGGTGGTCAAAGATTTGGAGAGTATTATGTATCCTGGTGATGTATGATTGAAATAATTAATAATGTATGTTTGATTATATGTTATTTCTCTTGCTGTATATTTTCATTGATTTTTAGATTCATCGTAAAAATTATTTTTTTCTGTATTATTTTTTTTTCTTTTTTTTTTTTTTGGTAAAAGTTTATATATTGGATCGATTATTCCTAAAATTGTCGATATGTAAAGTCTGACAATTCATTAGAATCTAACTAAATATGTATAATAGCGAAAAAAAAATTTCAAAAATAATTCGTCTTTTTTTGACAATAATTTTAGTGTTGCATGCATACTGTTTAATATCAAAGCCGGTTTTATAACCGGATCCATGATTTTACTATTTCATGGGTTTTTTTTTAAAAAAAAATTCCGTTTATTAGCATTTTGATACATACCATTGAAAAATTCGAATCCTTTAAATCATTTTTTTTATAGGTATTCACTTTTTTCCTCAGATTTTAAAGTTTTACTCCTTTTAACTCTTTTAAGAAGGTAAAACTGAAATTATCATAACCGACAATAATAACAAATGACGAGAAAACGACAAAAATGACTTGATAAAGATGCCTTTCCGGAACATATGATAATAGTTTTTCACCTTTATCATGGCGGGCATGAGTGAAATGCATCTTTTAACAATGTGAAAAATAATAAGACTTGTACACTTGAAGATGAAATTATTATATTAACATTTTAAATTTAAAGTTTTGTAAAAGGATGTTCGGATTACCTGTTTTATCAAAAAAAAAAAAAAAAAGGTTATACATAGGCAAAACGCGTCGGATTATCAGTTGATTGAAAATTTTTTGTTCCTTATTCTTATTTTATTTTTTTTTTGAAAAAATAAAAAAACTTAAAATTTCGATATGTCGCGTTATTTTCTACCTTTTTATAATGTTGCTAGAGGCAGCTTAAAAAAAACACCTAATAGTCCGTTATCACGTAATTTTATGAAAAGTTTAGTGACAGAAGTGCAGACAAAATCAAACTTGGCTCGCGACTTTAATAGAGTGAACGATAGTATGATCAATCCTAATTTTATATCAAAATATTATATTCCTAAACAAGGAGAAGTGTTGAAATTTCTTCATAGATATCTTCAATTTCCTAAGTCTACTAATGACAATGAATTGAGACGAATCAAATGTCCTAATTGTCGTCAAAAAAAAGATAGTTTTTATACGGCCATTATTGATTTAAAAAGTGGTGTTTATAATTGTAAAATTTGCATGAAAAAAGGTTGTTGGGGTGATTATATGCAATTAATATCAAAATCTGAATCATACAAAATCATAAATACAACAAATTTAGAAATTGGTTGTCGTTCTTCCTTTTCAAGGTCTCATCATGAAATTGAAGGATTTTCAAATGCATTACTAAATGATTCTGAATTGATTGATAAATATACTAAAGAATATGGTATATCTTTAGATACACTTAAAGCATTCAAAGTGGGAATTGCAAGATATCATAATAATAATCCATCTTCAAATGTTTATTATGAGACTGATGAAATGTGCTTTACGTTTCCGCGAACAGCGCCATTTTATGACGATTTTAAAGAAAAAGGTTGTTTAGATGCAAAGATTACGCGAATTAAAGCTTGTTCAACAGAAAATAATGAATTGGTCGCTTTTGATCCTCCATCATTTGTAACGGGCCTTTTTGGATATCATTTAGCATCATTAGATAGCGAAGATATTATTTTGACGGGAAACGAACTTGATGCAATGGCCGCTTATCAAGAAACTAATATACCAGCAACATGCCTTCCTACCAATGTATATCAACTACCTTTAGAAATTCTTCCTTTACTAGAAAGGTTTTCAAAGATTTACCTTTGGCTTGATGATGATGTAGAAGGTCAGGGAGCGGCAGAAAAATTTGCTCAAAAGTTAGGAATTGACCGATGCATGATTGTGAGTACGCGATGCGGAGATTTAGATGGACCAATTAATGCAAGCCAAGCGATAGCTTCAGGTCAAGATTTATCAGAAATCCTTAAAAGATCAAAACCTTTACAACACGATCAAATTATAGATTTTGAAAATCTTAAGGACGCAGTATATCGTGAGATTTCTAACCCAGAACAAGTTCGAGGTGTAGAATCAAAAGATCTTCCAGCATTAAATAACATTCTTAAAGGACATCGACCTGGTGAAATTACTATATTTACCGGACCAACAGGTACGGGAAAGACGACTATTTTGAGTCAATTATCTCTCGATTATTGTAAACAAGGAATTAGTACATTATGGGGTAGCTTTGAAATACCGAATGTACGTTTGGCAAAAAAAATGTTGCAGCAATTCGCCGGAAAAGATTTAGCAAAATCTCCTGCAGAGTTTAATAATTGGGCAGAAAAATTTCAACAAGTAATTTTGTTTAATTTAATTATTCATCTATTCAATTATTTTTATTAAAAGAAAAAATGATCCAACTTAATATTATATTTGATGGATTATTAGCTTCCAATGTATTTCCTTAAATTTTATGGAAGTACTGATATTTCCACAGTAACTGATGCCATGGATCATGCGATTCATGCCTTTGATGTTTCACATGTTGTAATTGATAATTTACAATTCATGACAGCAGATCAAGGCAGGTATATAGATCGTTGGGAATTACATGATCGGATATTATCATCCTTACGAAGGGTTGCTACTGAAAGAAACGTGCATATTACTCTTGTTGTTCATCCAAGAAAAGATGATAGAAATATGTTAGATGTTAACTCTATATTTGGAACGGCTAAAGTGACACAAGAAGCGGACAATGTTATAATTCTTCAAAAAGTGGAAACAGATTCTGGTGAAATAAGATTATTAGACATTAAGAAAAATAGGTTTTTATTATTTAATAACCCTTTAATTCTTGATAAAATCAATCACTAATTTCGAATAAATTTTTTGATAGATTCGATGGAACGCTTGCTGCTATTCAAATAGAATTCGAAACCGAATCCTTAAAAGTTAATATTCATTTAAACAATTATTTATTTTTTTACATTACAAATTATTCATAATAAACTAATTTTAATTGACATTGATACAGATTAAACAAGTCAATCCTGCGAAAATAAAGAAACGATCATCAATTTCTACTATACATGATCGTAAGTATTAATTAAGTATATGATACTCAAAATGACAAAATATGAAAAATACGTGAAATTTAACAACTTTATTAATTCTCCTTCCATTTTCCTATCTCATAAATTAACAGCGAAATTACTTAAATACAATGATGATTTGACACCTAATATACAATAATATAATTAATAAGTGAATGGAGAAAGGCATAATCAGATCAAATGATAATTCTATATTACTGTAATGCAATGTAATAATAAAACGATTAATTCTTTTAACTGACTTAAGCCATGTTAGTTGTCTTTAATGTTCTTCGTCTTTTAACGTCCCAATTAAATACACGTGCAATATCTTTTTTACAGAGATGATGAGTTAAGGCATAAAAATGAACGTAAAAAAAATATTTGGTTTACCTTTTTTATTTTGTTAAAAAGGATACTAACTTCCATTGTGGTAACTTGTTCTCGTAAAAATTCCAAATCTTCCAATACATTTTTAAGTGAAGTTTGAGCTGTTGCCAATTTACCTTCAAGTAACTCCTTTGCTTCTTGTAATGAATATTCGAGCATCACGTTAGCCTGTAATTAATCAAGAAATTCATAAATATTTGGGAAATTAGCAATTATTTTTTAAGATTAAAAAAATAAAAATCACCCCAAGCCATAAATTAACAGTTTTTGTAGATTTGATCTTAGCATTAGCCCACAACGTGTCACTCAATTCAAATGTTGTCTCTATAGGTTCATCGGAATCCTACATAATAAAAATGATAGAATTAAACATTATTCAATTTGCAGGAATCAATTTAATGTTGCATTTACCTGTTTTGATATCAAGAATTCTACAACAGTCAAAGTCTTATTGATTTCAGGTATTTTTAACTCGAGGCCCTTCTTTCGGTTAAGGAAATTGATTTCCATGAACTTATATTTTCTAATTGTTAATGTAGAAAATTAAAATTTTTAACAATGTTTAAAAAAAGACATTCAATGCTTACGCGACAGTTTCCTGGAATTTACTCAGAGTAACCTCAACCGGCGCTGAAGATTTACCAATAACCTCTTCAACATTTTCCTGAGATAGAAGCAGGTGAGCGCGACATCACAAATAAAGGTTACGCGAAAATTATTTTGAAATATTTTATACATACTACAAATTGAACCTTAGGAATACCTCTGGGGTTCGTTTCTATAACGGCTTTAGTAGAAGACCCACTTACGGATTCTTTCGTTTCTCGTGTCATACTTTGTAAGAGTTTTTGTTAGTTCTATCCGGATAAATAAATTTAGATACTAATATAACAACCGTAACACAAAAAATAATGACGTAATATATCTAAAAAATAATAAAAATCTAAAATTATTCGAAACACGAATGAACTTCCTCTTTAATTTGTTCAGTTGATCAAGATATCACTTAATCGCAATGAAGGTATAGTTATTTTATTTATTAATTTTGAATGCATTGTGAAATAAGGCTTCTCGAATAGACCTGTAATACGGAAGCAATTAAATTTTAGCGAAAAATAATTAAGGATTTTTTTTTTTTTTAAATAAAAAAATCCATCCATTATAAAAAAAAGTTTATTCCAATTTAAATATATCAACATCAATATCGAAGTTTTTCGACTCTAAATAAATTAATTTATATTCATGGTATTTTTCTTTCCTTTTATTTTCCTCTTTAGCTGAACATCGCCAATCCAGCTACTGGTTGTCAGAAATTGATTGATTTTGACGATGAACGTAAGCTGTGAGTAAAAGATCATGTAAACTAGTACTTCCATTATATTATATTAACCCAAGTCAAAATATATATATTCAAAAAAAAAAAATTAAATTCGACTAAATGATTATACCAGGCGTGTATTTTATGAAAAACGTATAAGCGCTGAAGTGGAAGGAGATTCTCTTGGGGACGAATTTAAAGGATATGTATTCCGTATTTCTGGTGGAAATGATAAGCAGGGCTTTCCTATGAAGCAAGGTGTATTACGTAATGAACGTGTAAGCCTTTTATTATCTAAAGGTCATTCTTGTTATAGACCTCGTCGCACCGGTGAACGTAAAAGAAAATCAGTTCGGGGTTGTATTGTTGGAAATGATCTTGCAGTATTATCAGTGGTTATAGTCAAACAAGGAGAAGCAGATATTCCCGGATTAACTGACATTACTGTTCCAAAACGTTTGGGTCCAAAGAGGGCTTCAAACATTCGCAAGTTTTTTGTGAGTTATTTAAATTCTAATTTTTTTTTTTAACATACTTGATCACTGATATTTAATCTAATTTTTAAATATAGAACTTATCAAAGGAGGACGATGTCCGTAAATTTGTAATTCGTCGTGAAGTTACTCCAAAAAATCCGGATAAGAAACCTTATACAAAGGCTCCTAAAATTCAACGTCTGGTAACTCCTCTTACTCTACAGCGTAAACGTCATCGTCTTTCTCTTAAACGCAGAAGAGCTAAAGTTGCAAAAAAGGCTGCTGAGGAATATTCTGTTTTACTCGCTAAGCGAGTAAAGGAAGAAAAAGATAGAAAAGCTGATCTTAAGAAAAGAAGATCTGCTGTTCAAAAAGCTTAATATCATTATGATTACGAAAGTAAAAAAAGGAAGTGTTTTTTTTTATGTCGCAAGAGGATAAAAATTTAAAATGTTCAAGTGGCGATAAATAAATTCATTGAAATATTCAATTTATTTAAAAATTAATTAATATATATAATTTGTTGTGTTTCATTAAATAAATAAAATAAACAATAATAATATCATATATCATATTTTTCCCCCAAGAAATTGATCTATTTTCGTCAAAATTTTATCATTATATCCCTATCGTTACTGATCTATTGAATAAGAGACTTTAATAAATAAGATTATATTTAACATAAAAGCAACAAACAGAATGATACAACTTAGCTGGATAAAATCAGTTTAATGCAAGTACATGGTTTTCACTTTGTATAGTGAGTCATTTCTAAGAAATAAGAAAATTCCTTTGTTTTTTAAAAAAAATATTTTGTTTGGCTTCAACAAAATTTAATAAGGTGCCTTTCAAAATTCATGACGGCAAATTTAGCACTCTTTTAATGATAGGTATACTTATCAGCTGAAGTCCGATTTAGTAACTCGGACTATTCGAAGAGATATCTACATTTGATTTCTTCTTTGTAGGTCGGGGCAATCAATACTAATATTATAATATATCTTTTTTTCATAATATATATGAATTTGGGCAAATTTGATTCGGATAGATTCTTTGTTGATTCGAGTGGAAATAGTGGTTTTATCGTAAGTAGACCTCGTAAGAAACGACAACGATTAAAGGGAAGGTATTTCCCATATGCTGAAGGTAACGTTGTTAGAATAAGTTTGATTTTTCTCTATTCTTTTTTTTTTTTTTTTTTTTTTGTGTTTTTTACTTAAAACTAAAAATATAAGCAAATACTTTATTATATAAAACACTTGATGGGAAACGGTGGTCGTTTGGATGGTATGCGATGTTTGATGGTAAGGAATAGACTCGATGTACAGAGCTTTCGAAAGACTTTCGAGTCGCATCGATATCGGAAATTGTTTGTGCGAGATAGAGGTAAGGTCTAATTCTCGTTTATATGATGGATGAAATGTCAATTTGGAAACCACCGCGAAAGAACAACCTTGCGACCGACCGTTCCGATCCGCTACCGATAACTGCACACTTTTTTAAATTTGAAAATAACCAATGAAGAATCATTTTTGATAATATTTGATAATATTCAAACATAATAGAAAATTAAGCATTGACAAGAATAAATTTTCATCGAGAGCCCCAAAACATGACGTCCAAAATAAGGGAAAAAAGGAAACAATAAAAAAAAAAAAAAGGTATAAAAAGATAATGAACAGAATACATGGGCTATTCAAATCATTTGCAAATCAAAAGCTATAAAGTAAATATAAAGAAGATTTTACATGGCAAACGAAGTCTGTATAAATTCACTGAATTCTTCGCTGTATTGATGGTAGGCCTTTGTTGATGGATAGACATTCAATTTAAATCCCGTTGGGGACTTCTAGACTGCGAAAGACGTGCTGGTGGACTCCTTGATGGAGAACGAGAGGTGCCATTACGATCCGTTTGACTAGGAGATCTATCTCTAGCTTCCTCATGAGGACGTGTAGGTGAACGAGAATCACGACGTTTAGGATCTTCTCTAGGTGGTGATATAGATCTGGACCTTCTGTCATCAGCCGGACGATCTTCACCATTAGTAGTTCTCTCTCTTTCGGCTGTTCTAGATCTTGAACGACTACGACGATCAGAACGAGGAGAACGGCTACGTCCACGAGATCGAGAACGGGTACGGCTAGGAGAACGGGAATAAGAACGTCGTCTTCTATAACGTACTGCCGATGGCGATCGGCGACTTCGACGCGGTGAACTTCGACTACTTCCCTCATACCGCCAAGATCTAGAAGGAGCGTTTTTGGCCCACTACAAATAAATAATAAATAAATAATTTGTGATTTCCAAAAATATCTATTGAAAATGAATAAATTAATATTAATTCAAACCTGAATATTTAGAGCGTGTCCATATACTCTACGACCATGCATCTCATAATAAGCATCTTCTGCATCTCGTTCATCTTCAAATTCAACAAAAGCATAACTGAAAATGAAATTTAATTATAATAATAAAAATAAGAAAATACGTATATACATTCATACACATAAAATAAAATATGATTCAAAACAGAGATAATTACGGTTTTGATTGATAACTTCTTGGAGCAGGAATATCACAACGAATTAGCCGCCCGTATCTATACATTATAATATTAATAAAATTTGAATCAGATACAGATAAATATTCTTTCATCAAAATTTATCTTTATTAAAGTCAGATGAAAGGAAGACCAAATTTATATTTTTTTTAAAAAAAAAAACAAAAAAAAAACCTTTCAAATTCATATGCCAAGTCTCTAGCTCTAATTTGAGATCCAAAGCCAGCAACAAATAAAGTTGTTCTTCTATAACTCATAGTTACGAATCTATGTCTAAGAATTTAATATGTCCAGAGTAACTTGAAAATAATCAGCCTACTTAAGCAGTAAGGACGTTATTATTGTTCTGATGAAGATGGTAATAATATTTAATAAAAGAAATATTTTTGTCAAGGGTGATTGATACTTTTAGGCAATTAAATTAAAGTTTATGATGTGGCTGTGAGTATGTGGCGCAGTCCAATGAATATGAGCGTTATCAATTTTTCCGTCCTTAATTTTATAAAGTTTCGGGAAAAGCTACGTAAGAATTATACGCGACATTTACCGATAAACTTTTTTTTTACTTTCGCAAAGCTTATAATCATTACATATAAGCAAAAAAAATTTTGTAATTATAAAGTTATAATAATAGTTTTTAATATAATAAAGATTTCAAATAAGTTTATAATTATAAATTTTAATAAAATCGTATTCTTTAAGTTGCTTATAAGTTAAAGTGATTAAATAATATAAATAATAAAAAGAAGGTTGATTTTATAGTGCATATTTTGCATAAATTAAAATAAGTGTTTCTTGTAAATCAAAACTAAAATATTTTTTTTTATTTTTAAATATTATATTTTGTTAAATTATGAATTATATGAATTATATTTAAATAAGAACTAATATAAAAATATAGTAAATAAGAAGAAATAAGATCAATGTATGAAATAAAACTTAGATATAATTTAACTAATTTAGATTATTATATATTTTATTAAAACAAAATATATATTATATGCAATGTATAAAATCTAAGTGAAAATTTATATGCACAAGTTTATAAATTATTACTAAAATAAGAAAATCATAAATGATTTCTTATGTAAATTTACCTTTTTTGTACATAATTTATCTATTTTTAGTAATAATTTGAGCACAATTTATGTTGTGTAACATGCACACAAAAAATTAATGTACATATTATGCACATAGATTTTACACACTGATTATATGTTATTTTAAATATTAACAAATTTAAATTATTAGCCCTTTTTACCAGTATTTAAAGATATCTATTTAAACTATTTTTAGATAATTTGATGTTTAATGTTTAAGGTTAAACTATTTATTTAAAATAAATCTTATTATCTAAACTTCTAATAAATTTTTTAAATTTAATAAAATTTAATCAAATCTTAAATTTATACAAATTTAATTTATATATTTAAATAGTTGTCAAAATATATTATTAATAAATATAATTAATGATTATAGTTAATTATTTTATATTTAATATAATATCTGAAATTAATCAAACTTAAAAAAATCAAATATGTAATAAATTATCTATCAATTATTTGTTAATCAAATATAATCATCAATTAATCAAACAAACTGTTTGATTTATAGACAATTTGTATATTTACATAAATCATAAATTCAAACAAATAATCTAATAATTTGAAAAGCAATTTTAATAATTTATTTTACATTAAAAATAATAAATAAGAAGAAAATAAGATGATTGATTTATTTAGATCAATAAAACTTTCAAATATATAAAAAATAAGAATAAAAAGCAATTTAATAAATTACTTTAAGTTGAAAATAATAATTCAAAAGAAGATAAAAAGTTTAATTATCATAACTATGATATTATAAATTTATAATATTTTTAAATTCAATAAACTTTAAAATAGCTTATATTTTCTTAATCTGTTTTGCTACTCATCATTAAGAGAATATGTTTTACAAATTATTTTATTTATTAATAATATTTTTTATGACTTAACAATGTATGATATTTTATTATATCTTATTTAATTTTAATATTATCATTATTATTTTTGCATAATTTCTTCTGTAATTTATCTGTTTTACATGATTCTATTATTTGTGAATGTTTTCAATAAAATTAAGTCATGAGACATAGTAAATCATATGATCCGTAATGTGATTTTACTGAAAATACTTCATTTAATTATATTTTATTTTATAATTTATAATACATAATTTTATACAAGTAAAAGATTTTATTTACTTCTATAATTTGTTAGTTAGCATTATCAAGTAAACCTTAAATATCTCATTTAACGTAACTCTTCATTTTAAATAAAGTCTTTATTTAATTTTTATGTTTTAAAATTATTATATATTATTATTTTTTATTATTACTGTTATGCCAATTCTTTGAATCGCTCAACTTAAATAAGTGATACATGTATGAATGCAGAAGATATCCTTTGTAAAAAAGATAAAAAATAGAATTAAAGATTTATAAGTATAATAGAAACACTAGTCAAAATCATTTCTTTCAACACTAATACCTTTCGGTTGACATTCATCTGATTTGGTCATGTGATTCGGCAAAAATTCGGCTTAAGTTACAAAATTCAATAGTCATTTGTTACATTGTGTGTAATTTAGCATTATTTTAGCACTATGACCTTTCGGTAAACATTCAGCCGATTCGATCATACTATTTGATAAAAATTCAGCTTGTGTTTAAAATTCAGTACAAAAATTATAACAAATCTACTATTATTTGTTACACCATATATAATTTAGCATTTTTCAAAATTAAGACCTTTCAGAAAATATTCAGATGATTCAATATGGTAAAATTTCAGTTATATGACATGAAAATTATAACAAATTAACTGTTGTTTGTTACATTGTATCTAATTCGGCATTATATCAGTCCAGTTTGGTTTATTATGAAAAATTTTTATTACAAAATAAAAGTTAACAAATATGGAATTTACGATTTATCAGATTTATGGCTAAATATTCAACAGCATTTGGAAAGTAGAAATTTTATATTTTGCTGGTACAAATCGACAAAGAATGTGTTGTACCGGAATAATACTGTCACTACCATCAGGAAAAATTTGTTTTTCTATAATTCAACATTACAAGTTTTTTCATCATCATCAATACTAAAATAATATCAAACTTTATATGTTTCTGCTAGCTCATACCACCAAATAAATGCCAAATTATGTTCTGCCGGTCTATTCTCAAAATCGATTATATACTTAAAAAAATACTGGACTTGATCAGCATAATAGTCAATCTGATTATCTAATATTATAAAATTTGCTAAAATAATCGAATTTTTCACATGACGAGATGACATTGCTGAGCCAAACACCTTTGAACCAATTCTATACTGACCGAATTTATTTATTATAATATGACTAAGTATAATTGAATCTTCAGATCCATCATCGAATGGTATCTTGAAATTGTGTGTTTCATATGTTGCTATGTAGTATTCAACCATTAAATCAAGCATCATCTTAGACAATAGCATATGAAGATTCAGTATTATTTTATCACGTCCATAATGCTCCTCAATAAGTTTTACTATTTTAATCAACCTTTTATGAGCTTCTTGTACTGAATCAAATTCCAGAATTCGACCTACCAGAATCGAATAAACTCTAACAAAATGTGTTAGAATCATTCGGTCAATTACTGATAAATGTTCCCAAAGTGATGTAGTTGCATAAATTGTATAAAATATTCACCATTGGCCTGCTGTAAAGTTAGAAAAACCTTCTCTGCAGTCAATTTTTCGAGGGATTCTACCCAAATCAGCTGGAACTTGAATCTGATTCATATTCCTTTGGATACTTTTAAGAGCATCTGAAGTTAAAACCTTCTCATCGACCCAAATTTGTTTAACTATCCATTTCACTATGCCTAAAAATAGACAATGCATTGGGTCGACCGTTAAAAAATGGATTGGGTCAAAGTATGGTAATCGAAGTAATTCATACCATCTAACGCCAGTATTCTTTACAAATCACTTTCTGTCAGCGTCCGAATTGCACCTTCACCAGCCAAGTGCATCCTCTTAATATTGTGATGAATCCCAGTGAGTAAACCATTCGTTTATATTAATTATTCCAGCAAAATTATGTTGCTGATTTTCATAATTTGCCTTCTTTTCGCACCTATGACATGACACTAATGCCGAAACATGACCGCAAATTTTCTTGCTGCGGGAATATTGCATGAAAAAAAGATTAATACTACGCGAATTCTCCTTCCTTCTTGACATTTGTATATTCAAATTAGAGTTACACTATTCTAAAGTAACTCTAATTCGTCAACAATTAGTGCTAAATAATGGTTTATCTTGTGTAAACTTACTTCATTTGGCCAGGTAAAACTCCAAATTTTCACGCTTGAATCAAATATCTCTTAGAAGATTACAAATTGTGGCATATAATACTCCAGTACTATGGATTGTTCTGTCAAAGGGTTGAAACCAACCCAAATTTATCATTAAGCCCAGATGTAAATTGGAAACATCAGGTCTGAAAATTTTCGGTGAAATTTCTGAATCATTTTCTTTAAATGTCTTCCAAACTTGTCCATCATATATGTCA